TCTTCCTCACTTTGCCATTCTGAAGCAAGAGTACAAGGAAGCCGTTGCCTCGCATGGTCTTATTGATGCGCCAGCTTGTCGGGAGGTAAGCGATGTGATTTCTATGCTCCTCCAAGTGGCTGGCTAAATCAGACACATAATTTCCATGCTGCTAGAGTGTCTGATCAATAGACACTAGCGCAGACTTGGAAAACTTCACCCAGGTAGTTCCTCAGTGTCCACTCTTCATGGCTGGCCTACTGTGGAACTCAACTGTGCCACACTGTGATGCCGAGAGCTCTGGGGAGCAGCCTTCCAAGTCCATCTCTAACACTGGAGGTAAGGCATATAAACTCAGGAAGGTAGTTCAAGGACCAGGTGAGCTCCATCTCCCTCCCCCTCCCTCCCCATTCCTTCCCCCTCTCTTTTTTCTGGGTCTCACTCACACCAGCTCAAGGTCATGTTTTGATCCTCTATCCACATAGCACAGAGCTCAGCTTCAAGCTGGGGCCCTTCCTCAAGGATCCTCCTTTTTGGGTCCATCTCAGCTGGTAGGCCCAAGCCCTATGGATAAGGATTCCAAGGCTCATTCATGGCGCCATCCAAGAAAAACCCCAACTGCACCGTGGACCCAACTTTGTAAAGGTCAGGTTTTTTTCTTCATTTTGTTCAAATCACTTTTCTTACGGGGTTTACAGCTTCATGCTACATGCCAAACTGTTAACAGATTTCACTCATGACTCTTCTACCAATATGAATCACTCACAGGGGCTGTACACAACAACACACTCCCAACACACGCTGCACCTCTATACCAAGTGGCAGAGCCCCTGTCCTCACTGAGCCAGTCTCTTGCAGTGAGGAGTGTCCCTGGACAAGGTGTGTCCATCGCCAGTAGAACACGCACTCCAGGAGCCAGAAGTCTCTCAGGAAGAGGATAGGGCACAAGCATCTGAGAAGGGAGGCAAGAAGTCAGCAGGCAAGCCAGTGCAGAGGCCAGGTAGCAGCAAGTCACAGGTAACTAAGATGACAGAAGGGCCAGGAGAGTGACAATGACAGCCCCAGCCCACAGAAAAATGCAGGTGCTCTTCCGGAGCATGCCATGGACATCTGACATTCTAGGGCTCTAAAGCACTGACTTGGTCTCCAGGGGGATGAGTTCCATGTTACTGTACCTCCCACTCCTACCCCTCCTGGTGCCTAGGAGATATGTATGAAAGAGTTGATCAGGACTCCTTTGGGACTCCTGGGCCCCAGCACAGGAAGAACAGGAAGGTTGCCCAGCAGGAGCACAGTGTGGTGGCCTGCTTTCCCACCTGGGGAGCACATCCTCTGCTCCTTAGTTCCTCTACATACAACCCCCTTCAACAGAAGAGCAACGTGTCACAATTACCTCACTGATGTTTAAACTGGGGGCACCTTGCTCTTTGGGGTTAATACAAAAAACATGAGCAGGACACTAACACATGACCAAACATGAAACGCACATACCATTCTCTGCATGGCACAGGCCTCAGAGCCACCTCTACTGCAGTCTCAGCAATGTTGGCTTCCAACACTGCAAAGAGCCCAGGGTCCCCCTACCTGGCTGTTGCACCTCACTGTTTTCAGGTCTGGCCTGGAAGGGCAGTGTCGAGAGAGATGTAACCTCTGCCTCCCAGCAAACCCTCCTCAGGAACTCTTTCTCATCTGCACTTTGGCTTCTGGCCTCCATTCCCTATGTGTCCCTCATGCTTCTCTGAAGCTTCTTTGCATCTAAGCTCCCTGCAACTAGGCCAGGGAGCCTCAGCCAGACCCTGATATTAAACATACCCACCAACAGTCTCCAATTCTCAATAGCCAGTGACTGCCACCCTCTCTCCAAGGCACCACTGCCTTCTCCCACTCTACCCAGAAGGGTTGTGGGTATTCACATTACTCCACAGCCCTAGCCCTCCAGTACTCTGCCAGGAGACTGGTCCATTCAATGACTCTAAACATGTGATGGGTACCTACAGGGGAAATCCCGGGAGGAAACAGCAAACAAAAACAAGCTAAGCCAACCAAGGTAAGCTCTCCCAGGAAGAAAAGTCCTGGTGCTCCAAGACTGGTATGCCCATTCCTTCCTCTCTGTGTGGGTCACAATCACCCACTGTGTTGGCCCAAGGTAGAAACATTCAAACACAAGCAACAGGATGGGAACCCAGATTTTCCAGTGGTAACAACTTCAATGCCAGTCTGGCAGAACCTCTGAAGACCCACACTTCCAGCCACATAACTTTCCATACCAAAAAAAAAAAAAAAAAAAACATGGTTAGCAAGGAGCTAACCAGTGACAAAGCCAGGGGCCCAGCATCGAGAGGCCATTTTCATGGTCTCCGTACAGCATACACGGAAGACATCCAGCCCACATCAACAGACACACGTTACGGCCACAGTAAACACACAGAATTTAAAGTTCCCAGTTAAGAATCCTCTTAGGAACAATCCCTTCGAGGGGCCTTGCAACTGCACATGCTACACTGGCGCCACCTCCTGGCAGCAAGGGTCATTTGCAAATCTCCTAGTCCAAGCCCCTGGGGCATCACTAGCAATGGAAACAGCAGATCTTACCCCAACAGGCCCGCCCCCGCGCCCGGAGCTCCCACCCCCCCCCCACACCTCACCCACCCCCACTCCCAGCTCATAGAGTACGTGCAGTCCATTCAGTTCAGCAGCTTGCTGGAAACAGGCCACTATTTTCTGATCCCTATTAATGCCCATGACAGCATTTATGTATAAGATAAATTCATCTCAATTTCCTTTTTCAATTAATGGCCTATTATTTGAACCAGACTCAGCTAAAAATACTCAGCTGATACCATCAATCTTACAAGGATTAAATTTCTCTGTCTGAAGCTACAGTGTACCAGGCTGGGCAGGAGGATAGTTACCTAGCTGCTGGATGCTGCCAACCATGTTCAGGACTCCAGGGGTGTAGGTCCTTCCTACCAGAACATCTTAGCGCTCTTGCTTAAGACAACAACGCACCAAGGGAACACAGTGGAGGAGTGTGAAGTGGATGGTGCTCAAAGACTCGGGGCCACTGTAGTTACAATCTACTTTGTGCTACCTACGATGACTCCAGGCAGACATGAAAAGCCCTTGATCATCACCATTCAATCAGACATGAAGGTACTTTATGCCACACTGGGGCTGGTAGAGAGACTGGTACCAGGACAGGAATGCCAAGGCATAGTCAGTGCTTGACAAGCAAAGAAGAGCAAAGCAAAAGAGATCCATCACATAGTGTTCTACCCTCAAGGAGTGGCCTTCTTCCCCTGTCAGTCCAGCTATGAAGGCTCTCGCAGGGCCAAACAGCCCTGTTTGTGCATGTAGAATTTAGCCTCCCTTCCCCTGTACCTCTAGATCATTGTGTCTATATATTTAAAGGGGGTTATGGAGAAAAGAACCTTCCTACAAAGGATGCCTGCAGTGGCATAAGGCAGGAGAGATGGTGGTGAGCCTTCTGCAACTCTGGTGCCCCATGTTGGATGGTGATGTACCTCATTGAGATTCTGTCTGGAGGCACTGCTGAAAACCCAGTGCCACAATCAGATCTATGAGCTTGTAAGTCTTGTGAAATTGTGGAAACCCTCAGCCATTGTTTTCCATGAATCTGTTTCCTCTGCCCTGTGGAAGGCCCCAAGGACATGATGTCAGGCCATGTGACATCATCCCAGAATGACACTATAAAGAGGCTGTTTTCTCTGTTTCATTTCTAGCAGTTCCAATTGATTTCTTTGGCTTACCCCCTCTCCTTCTGTTGTGTCTAGTCTGAGGCCCATCCTCACTGATAGGTCTTCTCTTTTTAATCTGTGTAAGGCTGACTCAGAAGACAAGAAGTCAGGTCCTGGCAGAAGGCTAAGGGGAGGGGCTTTCTACAAGAAGGAAAGGAATACAGAGCTAGGAAGAAACAGCCAGTGGCAGAAATGGCTAAGGGAAGAATAGGGGGAAGTAAGGGGACTCTCTTCTGAACAGAACCAAACTAGAGGCAAGGGCACACCTGAATGTGGGTGGTGGAAGGGTGTGAAGAAAATGTCTTTGAAACAGAACACACGTGGCACTGGGTGCTCCAAACCCAGAGACTGAAACCTTGACAGGGCCTCTCTAGCCCAATGACAACCCCAAAGTCACACACACCAAGTGCAGGGCAGGAATCAGACCCACCATGACACATGCCCTTGCTATATTTCTCCATATAGCTCCAATGGAAGTCAGGCAGCTGCTCAGGGTAGCTCAAGGCAGAAGATGGGCTGACAGATGAGGATCACTGCCAGATCTCCTTGAGCGGAGAAGAAAAGCAGCACCTAAGAATAAGGCTGAAGTGGAAGGCACTGGGGCAGAACGATGGAAAGCTAACTCAATCCCTGAAGGCCTGGGCACCTCAGGGCTTGAGACACTGTTCTCCAAACCAACAGCTATAAAAGCTTTCAAACATCGCTGAAGAGTTCCTGGCCTTTCCTAGTGCCTCACACCTCCTAAAGCAGCTATCCTGCACTGGGCCCAGGACCCTTGTAGAAGAGGGACAGTTCTTCTCAGACTGGCACAGTCCCTGTAAGGTACACCTGTTCTGAAGCAGGTCAAACTCCAAATACCTGCTCAGGGCTCACAAAGTGATTGCCAAGTCCAGGAATAGGGACACTGGTATAAAGGGACCAGCAGAGCAGCCCAGGTTCCAGTTCAACCTCTCATTCTAAGCCAGCTTGGAGACCCTAGACTCCTCCTCTTATGGTATATATCCCAAGGCCAGCCTCTGTTCACTGGCCATCCCCATCCCAGCTCCTGCCCAGCAATGAGGATGCAATCTTAAGTGTTGGCCGTCAGCCCTGCCAGGCTGGAGCAGAGAGACTGAGACCCTCTGAGAAGTCAACAGACTGTGAGAAGCTTTCCATTTGGGACAGTAACACTATGCATGCAAGTCGATGTAGTGCTCTTCAGGAACAGCCCAGACTCAGGTTCCCTTGACCCGGGACCCATGCCTCAGCTGGAAGATGACTCACCGTGAAGTGTTCCTGTGACTTGTAGTTCTCATCCAGGTAGACACGAGCCCTGTTGTATTCCTTCATGGCGTCACTTGATAGTAGCTCCCTGGGAGGGGAAGAGTGAGCACAGTAAGTAAAGACCCAGACGCCATGCCTTCCCACAGCTGTGCTCCCAGACACAAGGCTGCAGCTACAACTGCTTTTCACAGCAGCCAGAGACCCACACACCCCTAATGGGGCAAAGCAGGAGGGAGGGAAGGAGGAAAGAAAGGAAAATCAGTGATAGCCATGGTGGAAACCACAGCCTACTGTGTGTCCTGGCACACACAGAGCAGCCCACATAGCAGTCTCTGGTTTCCACGCAGGCCTGTGAGATGCCTACTACATTGTGAGGCCACCCAGGGAAGAAGACCCTGATGGGACTCCCCTAGGACACACATCGTGGACAGGTGACTTCCAGAGTCTGCTGCTTGTTTTGAACCTGACCTACAGGTTCAAGAGGGACCTACAGAGGTGACAAGCCATCACTCACAGCCGCCCAAGAGCACAGTGCAGAGAATGACAGTGACTAGCACTTCCTTAAAGCGAACAGCAGCCTGTGCTCATCAGTCAATGCAGCAGAGCCCCACTGCTCCTCCCAACACCCCATTTTATGGTCAGAGTCCCAAACAGTTGATTTTATCACTGGCTCTAGATTGCCTAGGGAGAAGTACCACACATCTAGCCCAGAATGTGGGACAAAGGGCCAGTCCTCCTTTGCTGCAGGTGAGAAGTAGGCACAGCATACAATCCAAAAGTACAAGTTAGGGAAGGACCCCAGAGGAAACCATATGTCTAGGAAAGGGAGGCAGCAGATGAGCCCGGCAGACTCCAGTGGACCCCCAGGATATTGCTGCTGGCAGCCACAGACCTCAAAGTGCTCACGGGTATAAAAAAACAGAGCTAGAGATGCCTGGGCACCAACCCAAACAAAGCACTGGGATTGAGGTGGTGAGGAGTGGGGAATAGAGATGACAAGATGCCAACCCTGAGCACCAGGCACATCTGGTACATCAAAGCTGCCTGACATGGGTGAGAACTTGAGTTCAGTCTCTACGACACTCAAAGTGGAAGAAGAGAACCGATTCCTGCAAGTTTCTGTCTGACCTCTACACACGCCATTGGCACACTTGTGTCCCCATCCCCAGACAAATGTGATGAAAAATTGATCTGACACAGGAAGAAACAACAAATCAGTGTCATAATTTTTTCAAAACAAGCTACCAACAGACCCAGGCCCAGAAATACGATTAGCTGAAAGAATCTTAAAATGACGAATATAAATATGATTGGAGCCCTTAAGGAAAATGGGAATGTACAGAAGAAAGGAGTTTCTGGTGATGACAAATGAGAACTGGGGTCTCACAGGATGGACTGAGAGTGGGCAGCCCTGCAAGGCAGTACAGTAGGGGTGCACTCCCTGTGGGATGGCGGAGCCTCTCTGGCAACACTGAGTCTAAGGGCAAGGGGGGAGGGGGCAAGGAGAAGAGCAGCATCTGCAGACAGAGGGGGCTAATGATCTCCAAATTTGGTCAAATGCATAGGTGCACAGTTCAGAACAAACAATATTAAACCAGAGAGCAGCAAACTGAGCCGCTACAAACAAGCTACATGTAGAGGAAAGCGAGCTGGGAAAGCACATTATACACAAGAAGATGAAGACGGTAACAAGGGCTGGGCTCTGGTCGGAAACAATGAAACACAGAAGACAATGACACGGCGTCCTTGAAGTAGTGAGGGAACTGACAAGCTCTCATTCATTCCCAATAAATGCAGCTTTCAAAGATGAGAACAACGACCTTGTTCAGACAAACAAAGGCTGAGAGAATCGGCAGCAGCTGACTTGTACTGAAATCAACAGTACAGAAAGCTCTTTGGCTAAGGAAAACGGTCCAGGTAGAAGCTGAATCCAGCCAAGAGCAAGGAGCGCTGTGCAGGAAGTGCACAGGAAGGTGCCCGCCAGTCCCAGCCTTCTCAAGGACAGCTGCTCTTCAAAGCCAGTGCAGCAAGGCACACAGCGCCGCTCACAGCACATCGAAGAGACAGTAGTGGTAGAATCTCCCTCCCGAGGGCCACAGGCCTGTAGATGCCCAAGGCCCAGTACCCACTGCACCCTTTCCCTTCAGATGTTCTGCTGCTCTAGCCACAAGCCTCTCTTTCCCATACGTGTCAACTAGCAGTTCTTGGCATAAACGCTAATTTCTGTCAGTGACATGTGCTGAAGATGTTTTCCTAAGGTGGCTTAGCTCTTCCTTTGTTCAAAATCTTTCTGTAACAACGCGGCTTTCTTTAACATGACTAAGCTGCACACACTGCACATTCTGAAAGAACTCCTCCCTACCTTAAAGCTACAAAGATACTCTCCCGTATCTCCATCTCCAAATTTTACTTTAGTACCAATGGAATTCATTCTGAGGCAGGGTTGAGTGACCACGTGGGACGTTGTGATGCAGGCTCCTCCCAACACAGGTCCCGGCACTTCTCAGCCTGCAGTGCTAACGCCATACACCAAAGAAGACATTCTGCATAGCATGTCTCTGCCTACTCGTATTGTGCTGCTGCTGCAATGGGAGCTGCTGCTCTTGCTGGCAGAACGATTGTTTCGGCTATGTTCGGCACTGCTTCTCCATGTGACCAGCACTTGCTTATCAAGTGTCGGGAAAAATGCTTTTAACACTTTTATTAAAACTGCCTTGAAGTTATAGACTGCTGTGGAGAAATGTGCAGGGCGTTTGACACCTGATAAGCTCCAAGGCCCTGAGTGGTAGGAATGGCCACACCTTGCTCGGGAGAAAGTCCCTGCTATCAACTGGTTGCTTGCAGGATCTCTTTACCCACAGGATGCTGAGGATCATGGCTGCCTCCAACAGGGACATTTGAGCACTGAAGGAGCACTTCCTCCATGTCTTGTCAGGCTTAGGCCAGATGTAAATAGGAGAAAAGGGGCGGGAAATAAATGTGGCAACAAGACAGCTCTTGTAGGTAACAGCGCTTGTTGTACAAGCCTGGAGAGCTGAATTTGATCCCTGGAATCCACAAAAGTGGGAAAATTGACTCCAAAAATTGTCCTCTGACCTCCCCATGAGGTCTGTGGTGTGCACGCACACACACACACACACACACACACACACACACACACACACACACACTTAGAACTAGGGATGGAGGGAACACCAAAGACACACAGGGCAGGCAGTGCCTTCAGTGTTCTCCAAAAACTGAGCAAAGATACAAACTCAGGGCTCAGATGTGTCCATGCCAAGCTGTTCCAAAGGAGGGCAGGTCCTGGGAACACCCCATGGATATTTCTTCTGCAGCATTCCCTGCAGTCAAAGCTGTGGCCTAGATGACTTCTTCAAAGCCATAACCAGGAACAACGTATGACCCCAATGCAACCCTGATGTGGTTCTGCAATACGTTCAGAACTTCAGCCCCTTTCTCCATTGAAAACCACATCCAGGATTCCCTTAATCCTGACTCTCCCTCTTCATCCCCAGTCTCCTTTCTAGTCATTGTTAGGATGCTTCTAGAAGACCAAAAAGGCAGAATGGGTACAATGATTTCTGAGAGTAAACAGAGTCTTCTGAGCTGGTTCTAGAAGCCACAGAAGGAGAAGGGCCTCAATTCCAGACCTGGAGCTCAGGGGTGTGTGACTGCTTGCTGCTGCTGCACTCTGTGTCCATTCACAGAGCCATCTCAAGAGACCCCATCCCCCTTCTTCTGGGCAGAGCTCTGATGGTCCTGTCCACTAAGGAGCAGCAGAGCACAGTTTGCACTGGCTCCGCACATACAGTGCCTCCCTCCTGGAAAGCATAGTGGTACCTCCCAGGCTTTGAAGAAGACGCTACTGCAGAACCCAGTCCTGCCCACCATCCATTGTCCTCTGCAGTAAGTTAGCCAGCATCCATCCACCTCAGGTACTCTGATGGGGGGGGGGGATCCCCAAGACCTGGCTCCCGCCACCCCAGCCCCTGCCTAGCTGCGCATGGTGCTTACTCCTTGAAAGCAAGCAGCTGCCAGATCACTGGGCCACACCTCCCTGGGGAAAACTGCAACTCCCTTGACATGACCAACAGATGCCATTTCAAAGGGTGGCAACTCAAGACCATGTCCCATCCAAAGACCTACCCCACAGTCCACAGGCTCCAGATGAGACTTACTTGACAAACTTGTCCACATGAGACATGGAGGCCTCATAGTTTTTCCCTCCGAATTCTTGGCAGTGCAAGGCCATGAAGTGAGGCTTGTGTGCATGCAGGACCTGGGGAGAAAGCATAGAGTCAGAACACAAAATCACTGCAGAGCAATGAGGCATGCACCTCCCCTGCTGCCTCTACAGCCAGAGCATCCCCAGACAGCAAGGCAAAGGCCACACAGGTAGGCCCACATGTTAACAGATTCTCTGAGTCGCCATCTTTATGTTTCCAAATGTTTGTTTCCAGCCTCTTTTTTGTTTCCTTAGCAAAGATTCAGAACTTCTGAGAACCTTATTCAATAACCTAGAAGCATCTTTCTCTAATTACAAAAAAAAGTAGTACCTATGGACAAGAGAACATCTGGAAAGTTCTCAACACAAGTCACAACCTCAGCACATCACTAACAGTGCTGTGCATACCTGTTGAGAGATAGAGTCCAGACAACCACGTTTGTGACAGCATGTTCTCGTGTACATGCATCATGCATGCATGCAGATGTGGGTGTCAGCTTAAGTTAGTATGAAAGCATTGCCTATGTGCATGCATGTATGTGTTTATTACACAAGGTTCATTCTTTCTTGTTTGTTCGTTTGTTTTCAAGAAGGGGTTTCTCCGTGTAGCCCTGGCTGTCCTGGACTTGATTGGTAGACCAAGCTGACCTCAAACTCAGAGTTCCATCTGCCTCTGCCTCCCTGAGTGCTGGGATTAAAGGTGTGTGCCAACACACTCAGCTCCAAACAGGCTCATTCTTATTCAGGAATCATCAAGGCTGGCTTCTAAACTCACTTCAGTACGCATACTGTCTGAAGCACCAGAAATGCATATCTTGTGTTCTCTGTAGCCCTTCAAGGTATTGCCCTATTTTCTAATTTACAGCAGCAGAGAAGTCTGATGTGTAGCAGAAACACACCCATGGTCTCATGGGCATTTGAGTGGTACTGTCTGAACTTGTCTATAGCTCACAGCTCTACGTCCTTCCAACTATTAAGGTTTCTAGTTTTTCAACACATTGCTGAAGTTATCAACAAGGATTCTGATTCAACTGGCCTCCCCCACCACACATACACCAAGTCCTGAGCACAGTCCAAAAAGCAGCACAGTGAATATCCTCAGTGAGTCCGGACAGCAGCGGAGGCCTACATTCCACCAGTAGCAAACCTTGCTTGATGTGGGCAGTACAACACTGGAAACCCAAGCATCTCCTGGGTAGGAAAGTGGTGAGGCATTTGGTTCTGTCCTCCTGGAACTCAGGGAGGGCAGCACCTAGAGGAGGCAGATCAGTGATGGGAGACTGGGCCCCAGCAGCCATTGAGGAGCTGCTACAGTTGGAAGAAAGAGTCTCTAGGAATAGCTGGAAGGCAGGAGCCAGAGAAGGAAATACTAAGTTGGGGTTACTTTCACCACAGGGCCAGGGTGATAGCAAGAAAACCCAAGGGCAGGGCTGGAAGCCGGTGTACCTAGAGCCAAGGGTTTAAAGGCTATTTAGGTGCAATGAACACCCCACTCACAGCCCTGCAGCCTCTGCATTTCCCCTCACTCCAGCTCCTCATTGCTTCAATATAACCACCTCAGGCAGCCCTGTAGCTGCAGAAGCCGGGAGGCAGCAAGCCTAGCAACCGTTGCCCTAGTGGCAGGTGCTCCAGGTCCAGCACCAGAAAGGAGTGATCGAATCTCAGCGACATAGTCATTAAGATGGGGAACTCCCCCAGGGATCAGGTCCAAGATCGGCAAATGATAACGACTATGTCACATGGACCATGGCCACCAGAGGATAAAAGGCTTTCTTCTCAAAGGTAATGGCCACAGGCTGCTCTCCCGCATCGCTGTGTCCTCTAGAAGTCAGCAGTGAGGACCGCTGCCTACCTGCAATGCATCCCTTCTGCAGAGAGGCGAGAGCCGCGATGAGGGCACAGGGCCCCACCTGGAGCTCCTTTTCACTCTGCGGTTTGGTCGCTGCATCCCTGACACAGGGCAGGGCACAAGACATGGGAGAGGAGGGTGAGCTGCTCTAAGGATTTCCATAGGCTTCAGTTGAGTCCAGCTTCCTAGAACTCCTCAGAAGGCCCCTGCTTGGCTCTACTCGAAAGGGGTAGAATACAAGTGGAGGAGTACTTGGCCCTCAGACATCTTTCTGCTAAAAGTGAAGTAACACTAAAGCCAGATGGCTTCCGTCCCCATACAGCTGACGGAAGTTACTTTAGCATCCTCCTGTTCAAAAGCCAGGACACCCTGCACCCCTTATATGCACCTGATGTTTACTTTATGAACAGTTACATAACTACTCTCTACAGGTCTTCAAATCTGGCTGTCTTCATCTAACTTCCAAGTAGCATTTTCCCTTTCTAAATGAGTTTTTGTTGTTGTTTTAAGCAAATAGCCTTTAATAGAAAAGGTCAATATTTGAACGACTGGAACTCAAGGATCAACCATGATCCTACATATCTTTGAAAGAAAAGGATCTAAGAACCACAGCTGTGATCTAAGACCCGTGTGCTGTGGAGGAAGGATCTACAGGCTAGCAAAACAAACAACAACAAACAAACAAAACCACACCAACCTAGTAGTCAGGCAGGGCATGGCACCAGGCATAGCAATCCCTCCCCAGATACATGGGCACTACTTGCAAGGAGCTTAGACTCTACCAGACACCCCAGAAGGAAAGATGATCTCACCAGGAAATGCTGTGGTCACAAGATAACTTTTTACAAGTAGATATCACCTGGAAAAGGGCTGATGCTTGTCTTCCAGGTGACACAAAAATGGGACCCACAGCAAGACCCAGGCTCAGGGGAAAAGGTCCCGGAGAAGAACCCCGATGAGTGGGTTCTCTGAAGGGCCAGACCCAGTCTGCTCCAACTAAAGGTCCCTGGTTGAAAAAAACAGCATCTGACAGACAGCTACAAATTGAAAACCAGCCAACAGGAGGCTAAAACCATACACAGAATGTGTCAGCATGGCCACACATAGCAGCAATGAACCCAGCTGAGAACCAACCAAAGCTACAGTGAGGGCCAGGGAGAGCAGAGCACGCCCATCCAGGCCACAGACACTTAGGGCATGAGTGCATTTTCTGTGTCTGAAAGTGCAGGCATAGCAAAGAGCCCACCAGATTCACCCAGAGAGGACTGTCGCCCTGCTTTGACTGCCTCAGAAAAGCACACCCCGAGGAACTCTGGAAGTCTCGGGGTCCTGAATGGCTGACTTAGGGGCACAGGACATAGAACCTGAAACCTCATGTGGATGACAAGCACAGTTCTAGAAGGATAGCTGGCTAGTTGCCAGGGGTCAAGGGGTACTTTAGCCTTTTTAGTTACATTAAATTTTTAAAACATAAAGTATGCTTCCAAGTCTCTTGTACAGTAACAGCAGAGACTTTTAAAGGAACAGAGGGAGCGATGAGGAGATCTGTGGAAGAAGTGACGGATGCCAGCTAGCACTGACAGGTTCTGACCTGATCGGGCAGGAAGTACCCCTCCTAACCTCACCAGATGTTCACAAGGCCCACCTCTGCCCACAGTGGTGTGTGTGGCAAAGGCAAGGACTTTCCCTGAAAACCAGGATGCTTTGTAGCTGCAGGAACATCACTCTGATGCGTGATGACATGACCCAAGGACAGCACCACGAGCTTCGCCTAAGTCCCTGCATATCAGTGGTTCCATAGCGCCCTGGATTCTACTCTTCATCACGGAGACTCATCCCCACATTGGACTGATGGTCTGGAGATCACCTCATGGCTACCACTGTGTGCCTTGGGCCAGTTCCTGCCCTGCCTAAGCTCCTTCTATAGATTAAAGATGAGGCTTGCTCCACAGGTGGTAGGAAGAAGCCATGAGCTGATGCGAGAAAGGATATGGGTCATGGCCACCTGGCAGGACTCCTTTGTTTTATTCATGTCTGGACACATTTGACGTGAGTCCCAATCTGCGTTGGACTTGGGGGTATGGAGTCCATAATGACAATGACAACACATCTACCATGGCCAAGGAAGCAATGGACACTGTTGTCTCTTGAGATCCCAACAGCCTGTGTGGCTAGAGTATACATGAGGAGTGGTCACCTCAGAGGGCCAGACCAGGAGCCCACCTGGCCATGGCAGCAGCACCAGGGGCATGTGCTGGGGAGCCATTCCTTGTAGGTTCCACATAATGGCCCTGGTTGGGCCACTCTGGTAACAGTGCATGCTTCTCTCAGGAGAACACACACCTAATGCTTGTCTAGCTAGCACTCAAACAGGAATCTCATTCAGAACTATATCCAGGTGCTCTTCCATTATGCCTAGTCTCCTCCAGATGCTTTGCTCGTGAGCCCATTATTCTCATGAACTTATATCCAGGTGTTTTGCTGGTGCACCTGTTCTCATGGAGCATGTTCTGAGAGGTTTAGCAGAAAGCTTACTTGCACAATAGATTCTTCTGCATACCAACACTGAACCAAGAATATTCCATTGTTAAGAAAGACCTTCCAGGTCTGTGAAGTCAGATGAAATCTACTTCTGCTCAGCCTCCATGATATATGTCCTCAGAGCCCTCCTCCTCCTTCTATAGTCCTCTTCTCCTGCTTTTTCAGCCACACCTTTCTTAGGTTGAAGGAATTTTTTAGTTGCATGACCACCTACCCACCCTGTGGTACGAGTCCCTCTTGGGTGAAGACATAGATGACAGAAACATTATGTGGCATAGGACTGTAATTGGAATACAAAGGAGGAGGTGAAGATCAGAGCGGGAAAATTTCACTTTAAACAACTACAACTAAAAGTTTTCCTGGTTTGCTGAGACTCATAGACTCTAGAAAAATCAATGGATTCCTGGCAAGCTAATCCAGAGAAAACCAAACATCACTAAACCTATAAAAACCAGAGACTGGAAAAGCCCTGTGTCCATCTAGAGAAAAGCAATGAGACACAGACTCAGTGGAGACACTCCAGTTCCTCTGATGTTGGGCATGGAACAGATTCACATGCTGACAAGAATATTGGCCACATCTGTCAGGAAAGAAGGCAAAATAAATACATTCTCAAAGAAGAAGAAAATTCAGAAAAATCCCAGTCACAGACCTGCTCTTCCCT